AGACACGGGGAGAGACACGGGGAGAGACACGGGGAGAGACACGGGGAGAGAGACACAGGGAGAGACACGGGGAGAGAGACACGGGGGAGAGAGACACGGGGAGAGACACGGGGAGAGACACGGGGAGAGAGACACGGGGAGAGAGACGGGGGAGAGAGACACGGGGAGAGACACGGGGAGAGAGACACGGGGAGAGAGACACGGGGAGAGAGACACGGGGAGAGAGACACGGGGAGAGAGACACGGGGAGAGAGACACGGGGAGAGAGACACGGGGGGGAGAGACATGGGGGTAGAGATACACGGGGGAAGAGAGACACGGGGAGAGAGACACGGGGGGAGAGAGACACGGGGGGAGAGAGACACGGGGGGAGAGAGACACGGGGGAGATAGACACGGGGGGAGAGAGACACGGGGGGAGAGAGACACGGGGGGAGAGAGACACGGGGGGGAGATACATGGGGGTAGAGAGACACGGGGGAAGAGAGACACGGGGAGAGAGACACGGGGGGAGAGAGACACGGGGAGAGAGAGACACGGGGGGAGAGAGACACGGGGGGAGAGAGACACGGGGGGAGAGAGACACGGGGGGGAGAGACACGGGGGAGATAGACACGGGGGGAGAGACACGGGGAGAGAGACACGGGGGGAGAGAGACACGGGGGGGAGAGACATGGGGGTAGAGAGACACGGGGGAAGAGAGACACGGGGAGAGAGACACGGGGGAGAGAGACACGGGGGGGAGAGACGGAGAGAGACACGGGGAGAGACACGGGGAGAGAGACACGGGGAGGGAGACACGGGGAGAGAGACACGGGGAGAGAGACACGGGGGGGAGAGACATGGGGGTAGAGAGACACGGGGGAAGAGAGACACGGGGAGAGAGACACGGGGGGAGAGAGACACGGGGAGAGAGAGACACGGGGGGAGAGAGACACGGGGGAGAGAGACACGGGGGGGAGAGAGACACGAGGAGAGAGACACGGGGGAGACAGGAGGAGAGAGACACGGGGGAGACACGAGGAGAGAGACACGGGGCAGACACGAGGAGAGAGACACGGGGGAGACAGGAGGAGAGAGACACGGGGGAGGGAGACACGAGGAGAGAGACACGGGGCAGACACGAGGAGAGAGACACGGGGGAGACAGGAGGAGAGAGACACGGGGGAGACACGAGGAGAGAGACACGGGGCAGACACGAGGAGAGAGACACGGGGGAGAGAGACACGAGGAGAGAGACACGGGGGAGAGAGACACGGGGAGAGAGACACGGGGAGAGACACGGGGGAGAGAGACACGGGCGGGAGAGAGACACGGGGGAGACACGAGGAGAGAGACACGAGGAGAGAGAGACACGAGGAGAGAGAGACACGGGGGAGAGACACGGGGAGAGATTGTAAGAGAGTGGGAGAGAGACACAGAGAGAGAGAGAAAGGTTGAGAATCACCGTCCCTGTGAATATTTACCACCAACACCTCCTCCTCACCCCCCTCCTCACCCCCCTCCTCCCCCCCCTCTCCCCCCCCTCTCCCCCCCCCCCGCCCCCCAGAGCCGGTGGTGCTCCCCGTGTTGCCGGCCAGGGGCTCCGTCCCCATCCCCCTCCACCTCGCCTCCTGGCGCCTACAGGTGCGGCCTAGCGGCGCAGGCTTCCACTACTGCCGCGTGCCCATCCACTGGACTAGCGCCGTCACCACCTCCTCCTCCACCTCCTCGTCCACCTCCTCGTCCTCCTCATCGTCGTCGTCTGCGGCTGGAGGCAAGGCTGCTGCTGCTGCTGCTGCTTCTTCCGGCGGTGGTGGCGGCGGTGGTGGCGGTGGTGGCGGTGGTGGCAGTGGTGGCGGTGGGTTAGGCATCGTGCACGCCAGCAGTCGCGAGTGTCTCAGCATCAGCGGGGATAAAGAGCTGACGCACAGGTGGACAACGCAACACACCGCTCGCTCGCTCGCTCGCTCACTCAACCACCCGCTCACTCGCTCGCTCAACCACCCGCTCACTCACTCAACCACTCAACCACTCACTCAACCACTCACTCAACCACTCAACCACTCAATCACTCACTCAACCACTCAATCACTCACTCAACCACTCACTCAACCACTCACTCGCTCACTCACTCAACCACTCACTCAACCACTCAATCACTCACTCACTCAACCACTCACTCAACCACTCGCTCACTCACTCAACCACTCACTCACCCACTCAATCACTCACTCACTCAACCACTCAACCACTCACTCACTCAACCACTCACTCACTCAACCACTCACTCAACCACTCACTCACTCAACCACTCAACCACTCACTCACTCAACCACTCACTCAACCACTCACTCAATCACTCGCTCACTCACTCAACCACTCGCTCACCCACCCACTCACCCACCCACTCACTCACCCACCCACTCACCCACCCACTCACTCACTCACCTACTCACTCACCCACTCACTCACCCACTCACTCACTCATTTACTCACCCGCTCACTCACCCACTCACTCACTCACTCACACACTCACCCACTCACCCACCCACTCACCCACCCACTCACTCACTCACCTACTCACTCACCCACTCACTCACCCACCCACTTACTCACTCACCTACTCACTCACCCACTCACTCACCCACCCACCCACTCACTCACCCACTCACTCACTCATTTACTCACCCGCTCACTCACCCACTCACTCACTCACCCACACACTCACACACTCACCCACCCCCCCACTCACACACTCACCCACCCCCCCACCCACCCACTCACCCCCCCCATCCACCCACTCACCCCCCCACCCACTCACCCCCCCACCCACCCACCCACCACCCCCCCACATGCTGCAGGTTCGTGGTGGCAATCCGTGAGGATCCCTTCCCAGCGGAGGCCTGGGCAGCCGGCCAGCCGCCATTCCCGTACCCAGGCCACACGCTGCTACTGCTGCCCACCCTCGTCCTCACCAACCTCCTGCCCTGCGAACTCACCTACTACCTCAAGGGTGAGCGGGGTCACGGGGTCACGGGGTGAGCGGGGTCACGGGGTCACGGGGTGAGCGGGGTCACGGTGTTAGCGGGGTCACGGTGGGTGGTGGTGGGTTGTGGGTGGTGGTGGTGGTGGTGGTGGGTGGTGGGTGGGTGGTGGTGGTGGGTGGTGGTGGATGGTTGTGGGTGGTGGAGGGTTGTGGGTGGTGGTGGGTTGTGGGTGGTGGTGTTGGGTTGTGGGTGGTGGTTGGTGGTGGTGGTGGTGGGTTGTGGTGGTGGTGGTTGTGGTGGTGTTGGTGGTGATGGTGGTTGTGGTGGTGGTGGTGGTGGTGATGGTGGTTGTGGTGGTGGTTGTGGTGGTGGTGGTGGGTTGTGTGTGGTGGTGGTGGGTGGTGGTGGTGGGTGGTGGTGGGTTGTTGTGGGTGATGGTGGTGTTTATGGTTGTGATGGTGGTTCTCTATCCGTGTGCCCCGCTAGGACTACCGGTACGTGGGGTGATGGTGGTGGTGGTGTTTGTGGGTTGTGGTGATGATGGTGTTTGTGGGTGGTTGTGGTGATGGTGGTGGTGTTTGTGGTGGTGATGGTGATTGTGGTGGTGTTTGTGGTGGTGTTTATGGTTGTGGTGGTGATGGTGGATCTCTATCCGTGTGTTCGCCCCCCCAGGACTACCGGTACGTGGGGTGGTGGTGGTGGTGTTTGTGGGTGGTGGGTGATGGTGTTTGTGGTGGTGGTTGTGGTGGTTGTGGTGGTGTTTATGGTTGTGGTGGTGATGGTGTTTGTGGGTGGTGGGTGATGGTGTTTGTGGTGGTGGTTGTGGTGGTTGTGGTGGTGTTTATGGTTGTGGTGGTGATGGTGTTTGTGGGTGATGATGGTGTTTGTGGTGGTGTTTATGGTGGTGATGGTGGTTCTCTATCCGTGTGCCCCCAGGGCTACCGGTACGTGGGGTGGTGGTGGTGTTTGTGGGTGATGGTGGTTGTGGTGGTGATGGTGGTTCTCTATCCGTGTGCCCCCAGGGCTACCGGTACGTGGGGTGGTGGTGGTGTTTGTGGGTGATGGTGGTTGTGGTGGTGATGGTGGTTCTCTATCCGTGTGCCCCCAGGGCTACCAGTACGTGGGGTGGTGGTGGTGGTGGTGGTGTTTATGGTGGTGATGGTGGTTCTCTATCCGTGTGCCCCCAGGGCTACCAGTACGTGGGGTGGTGGTGGTGGTGATGGTGGTTGTGGTGGTGATGGTGGTTCTCTATCCGTGTGCCCCCAGGGCTACCAGTACGTGGGGTTCTCTCTCCGGGCCAGGAAGCTGCGCTTGAGTCGGCCGACACTTCACAGAACATCGAACTGGGTGAGACTCCTCCTCATCATCATCCTCCTCATCATCCTCCTACTCCACCACCTCATCATCCTCCTACTCCACCACCTCATCATCCTCATCATCATCATCCTCCTCATCATCATCCTCCTCATCATCCTCCTACTCCACCACCTCATCATCCTCATCGTCATCATCATCCTCATCGTCATCAACACCAGCAGCAGCAGCATCATCAGCAGTAGAATATCATCATCATCCTCCTCCTCCTCATCCTCCTCCTCCACCTCCTCCTCCTCCACCTCCTCCTCCTACCCCTCCTCCTCCTACCCCTCCTCCTCCTACCCCTCATCATCCTCATCGTCATCATCATCAGCACCAGCAGCAGCAGCATCATCAGTAGAGTATCATCATCATCCTCCTCCTCCTCCTCATCATCCACCACCACCACCTGATCATCATCATCATCCTCATCATCTTCATCATCAGCACTAGCAGCAGCAGCATCATCAGCAGTAGAGTATCATCATCCTCATCATCCTCCTCCTCCTCATCCTCCTTCTCATCCTCCTCTTCCTCCTCCTCCTCATCATCCTCATCATCCTCCACCACCACCTCATCATCCTCATCAGCACCAGCAGCAGCAGCATCATCAGCAGTAGAGTATCATCATCATCATCATCATCCTCCTCCTCCACCACCTGATCATCCTCATCATCCTCATCACCTTCATCATCATCAGCAGCAGCAGCATCATCAGCAGTAGAGTATCATCATCATCCTCATCCTCCTCCACCACCACCACCTCATCATCCTCATCATCATCAGCAGCAGCATCATCAGCAGTAGAGTATCATCCTCATCATCCTCATCATCAGCAGCAGCATCATCAGCAGTAGAGTATCATCATCATTATCATCATCCTCATCATCCTCCTCCTCCACCACCTGATCATCCTCATCATCATCCTCATCACCTTCATCATCATCATCAGCAGCAGCATCATCAGCAGTAGAGTATCATCATCATCCTCATCATCCTCCTCCTCCTCCTCCTCCTCCTCCTCCTCCTCCACCACCACCACCACCACCTCATCATCCTCATCACCTTCATCATCAGCAGTAGAATATCATCATCATCATCATCATCCTCCTCCTCCTCCCTTCTCGACTCTTCCTGTTTCCCCCCCACTCACCCTCGCTCCCCCCTCCAGGGGTGGAGCTTGAGAACTTCCCGCGCTGCAAGGAGCTGCTGCTGGTACCGGGAGCCGCCGGCGGCGCCGGTGGCTCCTCCTCCTCCTCCTCCTCCGGCGCCGGTGGCTCCGGCGGTGGCTCTGGCGGTGGCTCCGGCGGTGGCTCCGGCGGCTCGGTGCCGGCTTGGCGCGCTGAGCGAGTGGCTCAGCTGCGAGCGTTCGACACCCGGAATCGGCGCTTACTGCTCACGGTGCGCGTCGCCAGTGTGACACACGGAGCCCGGCACGTGCTACTGTCCGCTCCCTACTGGCTCCTCAACAAGACCGGTGAGACTCAGGCACGTGCTACTGTCCGCTCCCTACTGGCTCCTCAACAAGACCGGTGAGGCTCAGGCACACACAGGTGGTGCACTCCCTACTGGCTCCTCAACAAGAGCGGTGAGTCTCAGGCACACACAGGTGGTGAGCTCCCTACTGTCCGCTCCCTACTGGCTCCTCAACAAGACCGGTGAGGCTCAGGCACACACAGGTGGTGCACTCCCTACTGTCTCACTCCCTACTGGCTCCTCAACAAGACCGGTGAGACTCAGGCACACACAAGTGGTGCACTCCCTACTGTCCGCTCCCTACTGGCTCCTCAACAAGACCGGTGAGGCTCAGGCACACACAGGCAGTGAGCTCTCTACTGGCTCCTCAACAAGACCGGTGAGACTCAGGCACACACAGGTGGTGCACTCCCTACTGGCTCCTCAACAAGACCGGTGAGGCTCAGGCACACACAAGTGGTGCACTCCCTACTGGCTCCTCAACAAGACCGGTGAGGCTCAGGCACAGGCAGGTGGTGAGCTCCCTACTGTCTCGCTCCCTACTGTCTCGCTCCCTACTGTCCGCTCCCTACTGTCTCGCTCCCTACTGTCTCACTCCCTACTGTCTCACTCCCTACTGTCTCACTCCCTACTGTCTCGCTCCCTACTGGCTCCTCAACAAGACCGGTGAGGCTCAGGCACACACAGGCAGTGAGCTCCCTACTGGCTCCTCTACAAGACCGGTGAGACTCAGGCACACACAGGTGGTGAGCTCCCTACTGGCTCCTCAACAAGAGGGGTGAGACTCAGGCACACACACGTGGTGCACTCCCTACTGGCTCCTCTACAAGAGCGGTGAGGCTCAGGCACAGGCAGGCGGTGAGCTCCCTACTGTCCGCTCCCTACTGGCTCCTCAACAAGAGGGGTGAGACTCAGGCACACACACGTGGTGCACTCCCTACTGTCCGCTCCCTACTGGCTCCTCAACAAGAGCGGTGAGACTCAGGCACACACAGGTGGTGAGCTCCCTACTGTCCGCTCCCTACTGGCTCCTCAACAAGACCGGTGAGGCTCAGGCACACACAGGTGGTGAGCTCCCTACTGTCCGCTCCCTACTGGCTCCTCAACAAGACCGGTGAGACTCAGGCACACACAGGTGGTGCACTCCCTACTGGCTCCTCAACAAGACCGGTGAGACTCAGGCACAGGCAGTGAGCTCCCTACTGGCTCCTCAACAAGACCGGTGAGACTCAGGCACACACAGGTGGTGAGCTCCCTACTGGCTCCTCAACAAGACCGGTGAGACTCACGCACACACAGGCAGTGAGCTCCCTACTGGCTCCTCTACAAGAGTGGTGAGACTCACACACACACACGTGGTGCACTCCCTACTGGCTCCTCAACAAGAGCGGTGAGACTCAGGCACACACACGTGGTGCACTCCCTACTGTCCGCTCCCTACTGGCTCCTCAACAAGAGGGGTGAGACTGATGATGATGATGAGTGTGCTGATGACGCTACTACTACTGGCACTGCTGATGATGATGATGAGTGTGCTGATGACGCTACTACTACTGGCACTGCTGATGATGATGATGAGTGTGCTGATGACGCTACTACTACTGGCACTGCTGATGATGATGATGATGAGTGTGCTGATGACGCTACTACTACTGGCACTGATGATGATGATGATGAGTGTGCTGATGACGCTACTACTACTGGCACTGCTGCTGATGATGATGAGTGTGCTGATGACGCTGCTACTACTGGCACTGCTGATGATGATGATGAGTGGGCTGATGACGCTACTACTACTGGCACTGCTGATGATGATGATGATGAGTGTGCTGATGACGCTACTACTACTGGCACTGCTGATGATGATGATGATGATGAGTGTGCTGATGACGCTACTACTACTGGCACTGCTGATGATGATGATGATGAGTGTCCTGATGACGCTACTACTACTGGCACTGCTGCTGATGATGATGATGAGTGTGCTGATGACGCTACTACTGGCACTGCTGATGATGATGATGATGAGTGTGCTGATGACGCTACTACTACTGGCGCTGCTGATGATGATGGTGATTAGTGTGCTGATGACGCTACTACTACTGGCACTGCTGATGATGATGATGAGTGTGCTGATGACGCTACTACTACTGGCACTGCTGATGATGATGATGAGTGTGCTGATGACGCTACTACTACTGGCGCTGCTGATGATGATGGTGATTAGTGTGCTGATGACGCTACTACTACTGGCACTGCTGATGATGATGATGATTAGTGTGCTGATGACGCTACTACTACTGGCACTGCTGATGATGATGAGTGTGCTGATGACGCTACTACTACTGGCACTGCTGATGATGATGATGATGAGTGTGCTGATGACGCTACTACTACTGGCACTGCTGATGATGATGATGAGTGTGCTGATGACGCTACTACTACTGGCGCTGCTGATGATGATGGTGATTAGTGTGCTGATGACGCTACTACTACTGGCACTGCTGATGATGATGATGATGAGTGTGCTGATGACGCTACTACTACTGGCGCTGCTGATGATGATGGTGATTAGTGTGCTGATGACGCTACTACTACTGGCACTGCTGATGATGATGATGAGTGTGCTGATGACGCTACTACTACTGGCACTGCTGATGATGATGATGAGTGTGCTGATGACGCTGCTACTACTACTGGCACTGCTGATGATGATGATGAGTGTGCTGGTGACGCTACTACTACTGGCACTGCTGCTGATGATGATTATGATACTGCTGCTGACGATGCTGCTATTACTGGCACTGCTGATGATGATGATGACGCTACTACTACTGGCACTGCTGCTGATGATGATGATTAGTGTGCTGATGACGCTACTACTACTGGCACTGCTGATGATGATGATGAGTGTGCTGATGATGCTACTACTACTGGCACTGCTGATGATGATGATGAGTGTGCTGATGACGCTACTACTACTGGCACTGCTGCTGATGATGATTATGATACTGCTGCTGACGATGCTGCTATTACTGGCACTGCTGATGATGATGATGATGACGCTGCTACTACTGGCACTGCTGATGATGATACTGCTGCTGACGATGCTGCTACTACTGGCACTGCTGATGATGATGATACTACTCCTGCTGATGATGCTACTGATGACGATGCTACTGACGCTACTACTGCTGATGCTACTACTGTTGATGCTGCTGATGATGATGTTACTTCTACTGATGCTACTACTGCTGATGCTGCTGATGATGATGTTACTTCTACTGATGCTACTACTGCTGATGCTGCTGATGATGATGTTACTTCTACTGATGCTACTACTGCTGATGCTGCTGATGATGATGTTACTTCTACTGATGCTACTACTGCTGATGCTGCTGATGATGATGTTACTTCTACTGATGCTACTACTGCTGATGCTGCTGCTGATGATGTTACTTCTACTGATGCTACTACTACTGCTGATGCTGCTGATGATGATGCTACTGCTACTGGGTCCCATTTCTAACCGCTACTGATACCACCACCACCACCATCGCCACCACCACCACTGTCAACATCGCCACTACCACCACCACCACCATCGCTACCACCACCACCACCACCATCACCACCACCACCACCACCACACCACTACACCACCACCACCACACCACTACACCACCACCACCACCACACCACCACCTCACCACCACCACCACACCACTACACCACCACCACCACACCACTACACCACCACCACCACCACACCACACCTCACCACCACCACCACCACACCACTACACCACCACACCACACCACCACCACCACACCACACCACCACCAGGCCTGCCCCTGGTGTTCCGCCAGGAAGGCGTCCGTGGTGCCGACGCCGCGGCCGGGCAGTTTGAGGAGCACGAAGTCGCCCGGAGCCTCACGCCACTCCTCTTCAGCTACGCTGACCGGGAGCAGCCACACCTGTGAGCCCTCCGGGGGGGGTCACGTGGGGGTCACGTGGGGGTCACGTGGGGGTCACGTGGGGGGGCACGTGGGGGGGGGCATGTGGGGGGCACGTGGGGGGGGGGGGGGTGGTCACGTGGGGGTGTGTGTGTACCTCTCTGTGTGTGTGTCTGTGTGTGTGTGTGTGTCTGTGTGTGTGTGTGTGTCTGTGTGTGTGTCTGTGTGTGGGTGTCTGTGTGTGTGTGTCTGTGTGTGTCTGTGTGTATGTGTGTCTGTGTGTGTATCTCTGTGTGTGTCTGTGTGTCTGTGTGTCTCTGTGTGTGTCTCTGTGTGTGTCTCTGTGTGTGTGTCTGTGTGTGTCTGTGTGTGTCTCTGTGTGTGTGTGTGTCTGTGTGTGTGTACACTGTGTGTGTGTGTACACTGTCTGTGTACACTGTGTGTGTGTGTACACTGTGTGTGTGTGTACACTGTGTGTGTGTGTACACTGTGTGTGTGTACACTGTGTGTGTGTGTGTACACTGTGTGTGTGTGTACACTGTGTGTGTGTGTGTCACTGTCTGTTTGTGTCTGTGTGTGTGTGTCACTGTGTGTGTACACTGTGTGTGTACACTATGTGTGTACACTGTGTGTGTGTACACTGTGTGTGTGTACACTGTGTGTGTGTACACTGTGTGTGTGTACACTGTGTGTGTACACTGTGTGTGTACACTGTGTGTGTGTGTGTGTACACTGTGTGTGTGTACACTGTGTGTGTGTGTCACTGTGTGTCTCTGTGTGTGTGTACACTGTGTGTGTGTACACTGTGTGTACACTGTGTGTGTGTCACTGTGTGTCTCTGTGTGTGGGTCACTGTGTCACTGTGTGTGTGTGTGTCACTGTGTGTGTGTCACTGTCTCTGTGTGTGTGTGTCACTATGTGTCTCTGTGTGTGTGTCACTATGTGTCTCTGTGTGTGTCTCTGTGTGTGTGTACACTGTGTCTCTGTGTGTGTCTCTGTGTGTGTGTACACTGTGTCTCTGTGTGTGTCTCTGTGTGTGTGTACACTGTGTCTCTGTGTGTGTGTCGCTGTGTGTGTGTACACTGTGTGTGTGTGTCTGTGTGTGTGTGTCACTATGTGTCACTGTGTGTGTGTGTCACTATGTGTCTGTGTGTGTGTGTCACTGTGTGTCTCTGTGTGTGTGTGTGTCACTGTGTGTCTCTGTGTGTGTGTGTGTCACTGTGTGTCTGTGTGTGTGTGTGTGTGTACACTGTGTGTGTGTGTGTACACTGTGTGTGTGTCACTGTGTGTGTGTACACTGTGTGTACACTGTGTGTGTGTCTCTGTGTGTGTGTCACTCTGTGTGTGTGTGTCTCTGTGTGTGTGTCACTATGTGTCTCTGTGTGTGTGTCTCTGTGTGTGTGTAACTATGTGTCTCTGTGTGTGTGTGTGTGTCACTATGTGCACACTGTGTGTACACTATGTGTGTGTACACTATGTGTCTCTGTGTGTGTGTGTCACTGTGTGTGTGTCACTGTGTGTGTCACTGTGTGTGTGTCACTGTGTGTGTGTCACTGTGTGTGTCACTATGTGTCACTGTGTGTGTGTCACTGTGTGTGTCACTGTGTGTGTGTCACTGTGTTGTGTCACTGTGTGTGTGTCACTGTGTGTGTGTCACTATGTGTCACTGTGTGTGTGTCACTGTCACTGTGTGTGTGTCACTATGTGTCACTGTGTATGTGTGTGTCACTGTGTCTCTGTGTGTGTGTCACTGTGTGTGTGTCTCTGTGTGTGTGTCACTGTCTGTGTGTGTGTGTGTACACTGTGTGTCTCTGTGTGTGTGTGTGTACACTGTGTGTACACTGTGTGTGTGTCACTGTGTGTCTCTGTGTGTGTGTGTGTACACTGTGTGTACACTGTGTGTGTGTACACTGTGTGTCTCTGTGTGTGTGTACACTGTGTGTACACTGTGTGTGTGTGTCACTGTGTCTCTGTGTGTGTGTGTGTACACTGTGTGTACACTGTGTGTGTGTACACTGTGTGTCTCTGTGTGTGTGTGTGTACACTGTGTGTACACTGTGTGTGTGTGTGTGTGTCACTGTGTGTCTCTGTGTGTGTGTACACTGTGTGTGTGTGTACACTGTGTGTGTGTGTACACTGTGTGTGTGTCACTATGTGTACACTGTGTGTCTCTGTGTGTGTGTCTCTGTGTGTGTACACTGTGTGTGTGTGTACACTGTGTGTCTCTGTGTGTGTACATTGTGTGTCTCTGTGTGTGTGTCTCTGTGTGTATACACTGTGTGTGTGTGTGTACACTGTGTGTGTGTACACTGTGTGTGTGTGTCACTATGTATCTCTCTGTGTGTGTGTACACTCTGTGTGTGTGTGTACACTGTGTGTGTGTACACTGTGTGTGTGTGTGTACACTGTGTGTGTGTGTACACTGTGTGTGTGTACACTGTGTGTGTGTGTACACTGTGTGTGTGTGTACACTGTGTGTGTACACTGTGTGTGTGTATACACTGTGTGTGTGTACACTGTGTGTGTGTATACACTGTGTGTGTACACTGTGTGTGTGTACACTGTGTGTGTACACTGTGTGTGTACACTGTGTGTGTCTCTGTGTGTGTACACTGTGTGTGTGTGTACACTGTGTGTGTACACTGTGTGTGTGTACACTATGTGTGTGTACACTGTGTGTACACTGTGTGTGTATACTGTGTGTGTGTACACTGTGTGTGTGTGTACACTGTGTGTACACTGTGTGTGTATACACTGTGTGTGTACACTGTGTGTGTGTACACTGTGTGTGTGTGTACACTGTGTGTATACACTATGTGTACACTGTGTGTGTACACTGTGTGTACACTGTGTGTGTACACTGTGTGTGTACACTATGTGTACACTGTGTGTATACACTATGTGTACACTGTGTGTATACACTATGTGTACACTGTGTGTATACACTATGTGTACACTGTGTGTATACACTATGTGTACACTATGTGTACACTGTGTGTACACTGTGTGTGTACACTGTGTGTACACTGTGTGTACACTGTGTGTGTACACTGTGTGTACACTGTGTGTATACACTGTGTGTACACTGTGTGTACACTGTGTGTGTACACTGTGTGTACACTGTGTGTGTACACTATGTGTACACACTATGTGTACACTGTGTGTATACACTATGTGTACACTGTGTGTACACTGTGTGTGTACACTATGTGTACACTGTGTGTATACACTATGTGTGTACACTGTGTGTATACACTATGTGTGTACACTGTGTGTATACACTATGTGTGTACACTGTGTGTATACACTATGTGTACACTGTGTGTACACTGTGTGTATACACTATGTGTACACTGTGTGTATACACTATGTGTACACTGTGTGTACACTGTGTGTATACACTATGTGTACACTGTGTGTACACTGTTTGTATACACTATGTGTACACTGTGTGTACACTGTGTGTATACACTATGTGTACACTGTGTGTACACTGTGTGTATACACTATGTGTACACTGTGTGTACACTGTGTGTATACACTATGTGTACACTCTGTGTGTATCTCTCTGTGTGTGTGTGTACACTGTGTGTGTGTGTACACTGTGTGTGTGTACACTGTGTGTGTGTGTACACTGTGTGTGTGTGTACACTGTGTGTGTGTGTCTCTGTGTGTGTACACTGTGTGTGTGTGTACACTGTGTGTCACTATGTGTACACTGTGTGTGTACACTGTGTGTGTGTGTGTACACTGTGTGTGTGTGTACACTGTGTGTACACTATGTGTACACTGTGTATCTCTCTGTGTGTGTATACACTGTGTGTGTGTATCACTGTGTGTCACTATGTGTACACTGTGTGTGTGTGTACTGTGTGTGTGTATACACTGTGTGTGTACACTGTGTGTGTGTACACTGTGTGTGTGTACACTGTGTGTGTACACTATGTGTACACTGTGTGTGTGTACACTGTGTGTGTACACTATGTGTGTGTACACTGTGTGTGTACACTATGTGTACACTGTGTGTGTACACTATGTGTACACTGTGTGTACACTGTGTGTGTACACTATGTGTACACTGTGTGTGTACACTGTGTGTATACACTGTGTGTACACTGTGTGTGTACACTATGTGTACACTGTGTGTATACACTATGTGTACACTGTGTGTATACACTATGTGTACACTGTGTGTATACACTATGTGTACACTGTGTGTGTGTCACACTGTGTGTGTGTCACACTGTGTGTGTGTACACTGTGTGTGTGTGTGTACACTGTGTGTATACACTATGTGTACACTGTGTGTGTACACTGTGTGTGTGTGTACACTGTGTGTGTACACTGTGTGTGTGTATACACTGTGTGTCACTATGTGTACACTGTGTGTGTGTACACTGTGTGTGTGTACACTGTGTGTACACTGTGTGTGTGTGTGTACACTGTGTGTACACTGTGTGTGTACACTGTGTGTGTACACTGTGTGTACACTGTGTGTACACTATGTGTACACTGTGTGTACACTGTGTGTATACACTATGTGTACACTGTGTGTGTACACTGTGTGTACACTGTGTGTGTACACTGTGTGTACACTATGTGTACACTGTGTGTACACTGTGTGTATACACTATGTGTACACTGTGTGTGTACACTGTGTATACACTGTGTGTGTACACTGTGTGTGTACACTATGTGTACACTGTGTGTATACACTATGTGTACACTATGTGTACACTGTGTGTATACACTATGTGTACACTATGTGTACACTGTGTGTATACACTATGTGTACACTGTGTGTATACACTATGTGTACACTGTGTGTATACACTATGTGTACACTGTGTGTGTGTGTGTACACTGTGTGTGTGTGTGTACACTGTGTGTGTGTGTACACTATGTGTGTGTACACTGTGTGTGTACACTGTGTGTATACACTATGTGTACACTGTGTGTGTACACTGTGTGTGTGTGTGTACACTATGTGTGTGTACACTGTGTGTACACTGTGTGTATACACTATGTGTACACTGTGTGTATACACTGTGTGTACACTGTGTGTGTGTACACTGTGTGTGTACACTGTGTGTGTGTGTACACTGTGTGTGTACACTGTGTGTGTGTACACTGTGTGTACACTGTGTGTGTACACTGTGTGTGTGTGTACACTGTGTGTACACTATGTGTGTATACACTATGTGTACACTGTGTGTACACTATGTGTGTATACACTATGTGTACACTATGTGTACACTATGTGTGTGTACACTGTGTGTCACTATGTGTACACTATGTGTACACTATGTGTGTATACACTATGTGTACACTGTGTGTACACTGTGTGTGTGTGTACACTATGTGTACACTATGTGTACACTGTGTGTGTACACTGTGTGTACACTGTGTGTATACACACAGTGTACACTATGTGTACACTGTGTGTATACACTATGTGTACACTATGTGTACACTGTGTGTGTACACTGTGTGTACACTATGTATACACTGTGTGTCACTGTGTGTATCTCTCTGTGTGTGTGTATACACTATGTGTACACTCTGTGTGTATCTCTCTCTGTGTGTGCCACGTGCAGGTGCAGCATGCGGCTGGGCAGGGGCCTGCACCCCGAGGGAGTCCCAGCCTGGTCCCACTCCTTCTCGCTGGACGCCGGCTCGGGCGTACGCACACTCACTGTGCTACAGGCGGAGAACCGTCCGGGGCTGGTGTACTACATCGGTGATACACTCACTCACTCACCTACACACTCACCTACACACTCACCTACACACTCACTGTGCTACAGGCGGAGAACCGCCCGGGGCTGGTGTACTACATCGGTGATGTTCACACACTCACTCACCTACACACTCACTGTGCTACAGGCGGAGAACCGTCCGGGGCTGGTGTACTACATCGGTGATGTTCACACACTCACTCACCTACACACTCACTGTGCTACAGGCAGAGAACCGCCCGGGGCTGGTGTACTACATCGGTGATGTTCACACACTCACTCACCTACACACTCACTCATACACTCACTCACTCACTCATACACTCAGTCACACACTCACTCACCTACACACTCACTCACCTACACACTCACTCACCTACACACTCACCGTGCTACAGGCAGAGAACCGTCCTGGGCTCGTGTACTATATCGGTGATACTTACACACCTACACACTCACCTACACACTCACCTACACACTCACTCACCTACACACTCACACACTCACTGTGCTACAGGCGGAGAATCGTCCTGGGCTCGTGTACTACATCGGTGATACTTACACACCTACACACTCACACACTCACTCACCTACTCACTCACTCAGTCATACACTCACTCACCTACACACTCACTCACACACTCACTCACCTACACACTCACCGTGCTACAGGCAGAGAACCGCCCTGGGCTCGTGTACTACATCGGTGATGTTCACTCACTCAGTCATACACTCACTCACTCACCTACACACTCACTCACTCACTCACCTACTCACTCACTCACCTACACACTCACCTACACACTCACTGTGCTACAGGCGGAGAACCGTCCTGGTCTGGTGTACTACATCGGTGATACACTCATTCACTCACCTACACACTCACTCACTCAGTCATACACTCACTCACTCACACACTCACTCATACACTCACTCACTCACACACTCACTCACTCACCTACACACTCACTGTGCTACAGGCAGAGAACCGTCCTGGGCTCGTGTACTACATCGGTGATGTTCACACACACACTCACACACCTACACACTCACTCACTCACCTACACACTCACCTACACACTCACCTACACACTCACCTACTCACTCACACACTCACCTACACACTCACTGTGCTACAGGCGGAGAACCGTCCTGGGCTGGTGTACTACATCGGTGATGTTCACACACTCACTCATATACTCACTCATACACTCACCTACACACTCACCTCCTCACTCACCTACACACTCACCTACTCACTCACCTACACACTCACCTACTCACTCACCTACACACTCACCTACACACTCACCTACACACTCACCTACTCACTCACCTACACACTCACCTACTCACTCACACTCACCTACACACTCACTCACCTACTCACTCACTCACTCACCCACTCACTCACCTACTCACTCACTCACTCACCTACTCACTCACCTACTCACTCACTCACTCACCTACTCACTCACCTACTCACCCACTCACTCACCTACTCACTCACTCACTCACCTCCTCACTCACCCACCCACTCACTCACTCACCCACCCACTCAGTCACCTACTCACTCACTCACTCCCCCCCTCCCCCCTCCCCCTCCCCCCTCCCCCCCTGCGTGTGTGCAGGCATCATTGTGCGCAAGGCCCGTGGACGCTTCCGTGACACGCAGCTGGTCACCTTCACTCCCAGATTCCTCGTCACCAACCACTCCAGACACTCACTCAGCTTCGCACAGAGAGAGTTCACCCAGGTGGGTGGGTGGGTGGGTGGAGGGTGGGTGGGTGGGTGGGTGAGAGGGTGGGTGGGTGAGAGGGTGGTGGGTGGGTGGGTTAGAGGGTGGGTGGGTGAGAGGGTGGTGGGTGGGTGAGAGGGTGGTGGGTGGGTGAGAGGGTGGGTGGTCACCTTCACTCCCAGATTCCTCGTCACCAACCACAGCAGACACTCACTCAGCTTCGCACAGAGAGAGTTCACCCAGGTGGGTGGGTGGTGGGTGAGAGGGTGGGTGGGTGGGTGGGTGAGTGGGTGGGTGGGTGGGTGGGTGAGAGGGTGGGTGGGTGGGTGGGTTAGAGGGTGGGTGGGTGGGTGGGTTAGAGGGTGGGTGGGTGGGTGGGTGAGAGGGTGGGTGGGTGGGTGGGTGAGAGGGTGAGAGGGTGGTGGGTGGGTTAGAGGGTGGGTGGTCACCTTCACTCCCAGATTCCTCGTCACCAACCACAGCAGACACTCACTCAGCTTCGCACAGAGAGAGTTCACCCAGGTGGGTGGGTGGGTGGGTGAGAGGGTGGGTTAGAGGGTGGGTGGGTGGGTGGGTGAGTGGGTGAGTGGGTGAGAGGGTGAGTGAGTGGGTGAGTGAGTGGGTGAGTGAGTGGGTGGGTGAGAGGGTGGTGGGTGGGTGAGAGGGTGGGTGGTCACCTTCACTCCCAGATTCCTCGTCACCAACCACTCCAGACACTCACTCAGCTTCGCACAGAGAGAGTTCACCCAGGTGGGTGGGTGGTGGGTGGGTGAGAGGGTGGGTGGGTGGGTGGGTGAGTGGGTGAGTGGGTGGGTGAGTGAGTGGGTGAGTGGGTGAGTGGGTGAGTGAGTGGGTGAGTGAGTGGGTGAGTGAGTGAGTGGGTGAGTGAGTGGGTGAGTGGGTGAGTGGGTGAGTGAGTGGGTGAGTGAGTGGGTGGGTGAGAGGGTGGTGTGTGGGTGAGAGGGTGAGAGGGTGGGTGGGTGGGTGAGAGGGTGGGTGGGTGGGTGGGTGAGAGGGTGGGTGGGTGAGAGGGTGGTGGGTGGGTGAGAGGGTGGGTGGGTGGGTGAGAGGGTGGTGGGTGGGTGAGAGGGTGGCTGGTCACCTTCACTCCCAGATTCCTCGTCACCAACCGCAGCAGACACTCACTCAGCTTCGCACAGAGAGAGTTCACCCAGGTGGGTGGGTGGTGGGTGGGTGAGAGGGTGGGTGGGTGGGTGGGTGGGTGGGTGGTGGGTGAGAGGGTGGTGGGTGAGAGGGTGAGTGGGTGGGTGGTGGGTGAGAGGGTGGGTGAGAGGGTGGGTGGGTGGGTTAGAGGGTGGGTGGGTGAGTGGGTGAGTGAGTGAGTGGGTGAGTGAGTGGGTGAGTGGGTGAGTGAGTGGGTGAGTGAGTGGGTGGGTGAGAGGGTGGGTGGGTGGGTTAGAGGGTGGGTGGGTGGGTGAGAGGGTGGGTGGGTGGGTTAGAGGGTGGGTGGTCACCTTCACTCCCAGATTCCTCCTCACCAACCACTCCAGACACTCACTCAGCTTCGCACAGAGAGAGTTCACCCAGGTGGGTGGGTAGGTGGGTGGGTAGGTGGGTGGGTGGGTGAGTGGGTGGGTGGTGGGTTAGAGGGTGGGTGGGTGGGTGGGTGAGTGGGTGAGTGAGTGGGTGAGAGGGTGGGTGGTGGGTTAGAGGGTGGGTGGGTGGGTGGGTGAGTGGGTGAGTGAGTGGGTGGGTGAGTGGGTGGGTGGGTGGTGGGTGGGTGGGTGAGAGGGTGGTGGGTGGGTGGGTGAGAGGGTGGTGGGTGGGTGGGTGAGAGGGTGGGTGAGAGGGTGAGAGGGTGGGTGGGTGGGTGAGAGGGTGGGTGGGTGAGTGGGTGAGAGGGTGGGTGAGAGTGAGTGTTGATGGAAGAGATGATAACAGTAGCTATGACTATAGCTATAGTCATAGCTATGACTATAGCTATGACTGTAGCTATGACTGTAGCTATGACTGTAGCTATGACTATAGTTATGACTATAGCTATAGTCATAGCTACTGCTGTTGCTATGACTACGCCCGTTGCTATGACTACGCCCGTTGCTATGACTACGCCCGTCGCTATGACTACGCCCGTCGCTATGACTACGCCCGTCGCTATGACTACGCCCGTCGCTATGACTACGCCCGTCGCTATGACTACGCCCGTCGCTATGACTACGCCCGTCGCTATGACTACGCCCGTCGCTATGACTACGCCCGTCGCTATGACTACGCCCGTCGCTATGACTACGCCCGTCGCTATGACTACGCCCGTCGCTATGACTACGCCCGTCGCTATGACTACGCCCGTCGCTATGACTACGCCCATCGCTATGACTACGCCCGTCGCTATGACTACGCCCGTCGCTATGACTACGCCCGTCGCTATGACGACTCCGCCGTCGTCCCCCCGCAGGGCGGCCGTGCTCAGCCGGCGCCGGTGTCGGCGCTGCCGGGCGCCAGCCTGGTGTACCACTGGCCCCGCTGCGACCTCGAGCAACTGCTCTGCGTCCGCCTCTCCCCACCGCCGCCGCACCAGCAGCACCAGCAGCAGCAACAGCAGCAGCAGCAGCAGCAACAGCAGCACCAGCAGCAGCACCAGCAGCAGCTGCAGCAGCAGCAGCATCAACAGCAGCAGCAACAGCAGCACCAGCAGCAGCACCAGCAGCTGCAACAGCAGCAGCAGCACCAGCAACAGCACCAGCAACAGCAGCACCAGCAGCAGCAGCAGCACCAGCAGCAGCAGCAACAGCAACAGCAGCAGCAGCAGCAGCACCAGCAGAACCAGCAGCAGCAACAGCAGCAGCAGCAACAGCAGCAGCAGCAGCAGCAACAGCAGCAGCACCAGCAGCAGCAGCAGCACCATCAGCAGCACCAGCAGCAGCACCAGCAGCAGCAGCAGCAACAGCACCAGCAGCACCAGCAGCAGCAGCAGCAGCAGCACCAGGAACAGCACCAACAGCAGCAGCAGCAGCACCAGCAACAGCACCAACAGCAACAGCAGCAGCATCAGCAGCACCAGCAACAACAGCAACAGAACCAGCAACAACAGCACCAGCAGCAACAGCACCAGCAGCAGCACCAGCAACAGCAGCAACAGCACCAGCAACAACAGCACCAGCAGCAGCATCAGCAGCACCAGCTGCACCAACAGCAACAGCAGCACCAGCTGCACCAGCTGCACCAGTCCCTCCCCGCGGGCGGAGCGGGCGGGCGCTCACGGGGTGCATGGTCTGGCGGCTTCCGCATCGACTGCACGGGGTCGTTTCACGTCTGCGTGAGGTGGGCGTCGCGAACCGACGGGGCTTCACGGGATGGGGTGGGTGGGTGGGTGGCTGGGTAGGTAGGGTGGGAGGGTGTGGAGGGAGACGCACACACGGACAGACACACACACACACACAGACACACACACACACACAGTTACACACAGACACACACACACAGACACAGACACACACACAGACACACACGCACAGACACACACAGACACGCACACACAGTTACACACAGACACACACACAGTTACACACAGACACACACACAGACACACACAGACACACACAGACACACACACACAGACACACACACAGTTACACACAGACACACACAGACACGCACACACAGTTACACACAGACACACACAGTTACACACAGACACACACAGTTACACACAGACACACACACAGACACGCACGCAGACACACACACACACAGACACACACACACAACAACAACAACAACAACAACCGCCATTCGCCACTAAGTGGCGGTGACGTCACCACGACGCTTGTGCCAGGCTATGTGCACCCTGAGGCCACGTGAAGTGTCGAACGCCCGCTGGCAGGAGGTCACGGGGCAGACCCAGGTGCCACGGGTCGACTTGACTGAGATGAATGGCTGATGCACCACCTGTGCCCCCTACTGTGCCAACCTGCTGTGCTTTAGCCACCCGGCGCTCCGCTCGTTGTTCTGAGCGTCGCTCCTCCGCCCTCCGTTGTTGTTGGAGGGCGACTGCCTCCAACTGCCCAGTAGCATCCTTCACGAGCCTCCTCCACAGAGGCCGATCTTGATACCGCTGGTACCAGTCATCGGCAAGTCCACTCAGCTCCACGTCCTCCTGTACCACATCACTCCATCTCTTCTCTAGCCTGTGCCGCGCCCGCTTAGCCCCCTCAATCCGGCCAAACAAAAGCTGTTTCGGCATGCGGTGGCTGGGCATGCGGGCTACATGACCCAGCCATCGCAGCCTTGCCTGCCGGAGGAGCTCACCGATGGGACCCTGCCCAGATCTTTCAAGGATTTGTGAGCTCCTCAGACAATCCAGTCTGGTTAAACCCAGGATGGATCGTAGGCAGGCCAGCCTAAATGTTTCTAACCGGCGAAGATGTTCCATTAGGGGGGTCCACGTTTCGCAAGCGTAGAGAAGGGAGGGAATGACCGTGGCCGAGAAGACCTGAAGCTTAGTGCGGAGCGACAGACCAGGTAGCTTCCACACAGCGTTGCGCAACCGATGAAAAGATATTGCCGCTCGACTGATTTTGAGTGAGACTTCTGCTGTTAAACTGGAGCCAGTCATAAGCACACTGCCCAGGTATGGGAAACTCTCCACTCTCTCCACAACTGCCCCATCACCGATTGGGAGTTGAGGGGGTGGAGTATCCGATGGTACAAAATACCCAGGCAGGTGCTTAGTTTTGGTGGGGCTGATGGTAAGGCCCCACCTCTTAGTGGCACGCTCCAGTCTCAGCAGCAGCGTCTCCAACTCCTCCTCTGACTGAGCAGCTATTACCAATTCATCAGCATACATAACGTGGTTGAGCAATAGGGAGCCATCCCTTGACCACACCCGGGCATCGATTAGCCTCCCATTATATCTGTACCATATGGAGATTCCCCTGGTACAGCTATTGAAGGCTTCACCAACTACGTGGTCAAAATAGATGTTAAATAATGTGGGAGCCAGAGGACATCCCTGTCGCACCCCAAGGTGTACAGGGAATGGCTCTGACTCCCGGCCACGTAGTTTTACCCAGGCCCGCTCACCATCATGAAGGTCCTTAATGATCGTGAGCAGAGGGTCAGGTACTCCAAAAGCACGAAGAACGACCCAGATCCCAGGCCTACTGATGGTATCATGGGCCTTGACCAGGTCAATAAAGCAGAGATGTAGGTCTTGTTGGAATTCCCTACACCTCTGCTGTAGCAGACGGACAGAAAATATGGCATCTGTGCAGGACCGCCCTTTCCTGAAACCGCATTGGGGCTCCGCAAGCCTCTCCTCAGCGTGCCTGGCAAGGCGATGCTGAATAATCCTTGCCAGGACCTTTCCCGGCACACTGAGGAGTGAGATGCCCCGTAGTTGTTACAGTCTGTGCGGTCCCCTTTCTTAAAAAGGGGGACCACCAGGGCATCCTTCCAATCCTGCGGAATCCGTCCAGTGGTCCAGACTGTTGTTATGATGTCATATAGGGCAGTCTGTGCACAAACGCCACCCTTCCTCAGCATTTCGCTTGGGAGATCATCTCTGCCCGCTGCCTTTCCTGGTCTCAGACTCCGGATCGCCTTCAATACTTCCTCAGCAGATGGCACCTCAGCCAGCCACTCACAGGGGGTGACTTCTTCCAATATTTGAGGCACCGCAGCCTCAGCAGGGTCATCCTCACTTTGTGCCACGATGTTTTCCTGGCTGAGGGATTTTCCCTCCCCCAGGACCTCACAGAAATGCTCAGCAAATCTGCGAACCTGTTCCTGGGGGTCGGAGATTGGATCACCGTTTTTTCCCCTAATGATGGTAATAGGTGTGGCGCTGCAGGTTACTTTTTTGATGGAGTTAAATAGAGATTTGTGATCACGGGCCACTGAGGCAGACTCCATCTCCTCAGCAACCCGCGACCACCACCCATCCTTGCAGCGCCTCACGGCTCTCCGAACCTCCGAGCGAAGGCTGCGGTAAGCCTCCTCATTCTCTGACGTGGGATTCTGTAGCCGATGACAGTGGGCCTGTCGCTTTTTCTCAACCATCCTGAACACCTCCTCTGTCAGCCAGGGTCTCTGGGGAGGTCTGGACCGCGTACCCAAAGCAGCCATTGCAGCTGCATGAGTCACAGTCCTAAACCTCGCCCATTTACCCTCAACATCAGGAGGAGTCGGGGACGATGCCAATCCCAGCCGCAAGCGATGATGAAATTCTCGCTTGCAACTTTCATCAGATAACTGAGACCAGGCCAATTTATGTTGGAATGGGGTCCTGGGTGTACACCCACCACCGGAGTGGAAGAATGGCAGGCGCATCTTACAGATGACTAGTCGATGGTCAGAGGGCAGATCAGCTCCACGGTAGGTCCTGGTATCAAGGACATGGGCTCGCATTCGCTGGTCCGTCACTATGTAGTCCAGCAGATGTTCTTGCTTGGACCCGGCATGCATCCATGATGTTGTGTGGATGCGCCGATGCCGGAACAGCGTGTTGGTAATAACAAGCCCATGGGCTGCACAAAAATCTAGCAGCCTCCTACCGTTGTTATTGAGCTGATCTGGCCCATGCCCTCCAATCACTCCAGACCAGGTGCCAGTATCATGACCAACTTGGGCATTGAAGTCACCCAACATGATGACTCTATCCCGAGGGGCCACTTTAGCCAGTACCTGTGACAGGAGGTCATAGAAGGCATCTGACTCATCAGCTTTGCCTGCATCTCTCCACGGATGTTCATCTTCGGTGGGGGCATAAGTAACCACGACCACCATTCCTCGCCTCCGGTTGATGGGAAGGCGAGCCCAAAGTAGCCTGGGGCTTACAGCTTCCCACACCTCACCGCCACGCTCCCACGCCCCCTTCATTTTTTTGTTCAAAAGAAGACCCACACCCTGTTGTTTAGCAGTCTGCTGCCCCGAGTAGAGGACTGTCCACCCCTCATGGTGGCAGGAGCCAGAGCCGGTCCACCGGACCTCCTGAATGCCGCATAGATCCAGGCGGTACCGGTCCAGCTCCCGATAGAGGAGTGGCAGCCTCTCCTCTGCAGTGAGCGTTCGAACATTCCACGTGGCCACCCGTAGTGGCTTTTCGTTGTTTCTGGAGTAGCCCCGAGGGTAGGTATTCAATCTCCTGGCTCTGCCAATTGGGGTTTGGCCAGGAGACGTCATAGACGCCTGGCCCCCCGGGGCCTCCGGCACAAGCTTATTAGTTACATATTTCAGTTTAATTCGTGGTTTCGTGGTAATTAATTTAAGGTGGAGGGGTTACCAGCCCCTCGCACCCGTCCAGAGCCCCCGTTTAGCCCCTGTGGTGGACACATATGCCATGAGGGGAGGAGCCAATCAAAATTGGATCTCCCCCCACAGCACTGTCCACGACAGAGTTGCCCGTCCGGCACCGCGAGGAGGTAGGGGGTTGTTTTGCTGGACCACACACACAGACACACACACACACACAGACACACAGACACACACACAGACACACACACAGACACACACACGCAGACACACGCACAACAACAACAACAACAACCGCCATTCGCCACTAAGTGGCGGTGACGTCACCACGACGCTTGTGCCAGGCTATGTGCACCTTGAGGCCACGATAAGTGTCGAACGCCCGCTGGCAGGAGGTCACGTGGCAGACCCAGGTGCCACGGGTCGACTGACTGAGATTCTTCTGCCGTGGCTGATCACTGTTACAACGCTGTGGGGGATTACGATATAATTTTCTCCGATACCAAGGTCCTTTGTAAACCCACGGGTTATCATCAGAGATTTATCCACGAGGCAATCCAGATCTACAAACACGGACACAGTTTCAACCGAGAAGATGGTTTTCAAATTAAGCAACCATTGGAAAGATGTTCTAAATCATACCAAACATTAAACTAATTTTCAATGGTATTTATCCAAGTAGTGATATACCAAACTTTCATGGAAGCTTATTTCACTTCACACCTACAAATTCACCGTGGAGGTGGAGAAAGATGGCAAGCTGCCATTCTCGGATGTTCTGTTTGAGAGGAGAGCTGATGGCTCATTGGGACATTCTGTCTACAGGAAACCCACCCAACACAGATTCCTAGCTACCGGCTTAGTGCGGCCTGGAAGCGTATTATTAAATAACACACATTACATTTTGATTTAAAGAATTACTAATCTACAACTCATTACTAATCATAACCAATGACTGATTACTAATCGATTATATAATTACAATACCCCCCCCCCTCCGCCTCTAATCACTGCACCTGATATGAGTTAAGTGATGACGTCACCCTGCTGCTCTATATAAAACCGGGAGCAAGCGAGGGCTTTACCATTCTGGCGAATTGCCCGATGATGCTGGATGTAATTACCAGCGAAACGTGGTATTCAAACTGTAAATGTTGTGGATTCACTCTTCAACACACCGGTGGGCTAAAGTAGTGAATTATTTGTCTTATTGTCAACGTGACACTTTTTTGCTGATTGGCCGTGTCGGGTGGTGGAGGGTTACGACACATTTATAAATTAACGCGATCTAACACAAAAAAAAACCTTTATTATGGACAGATTCCTACTTGAAACCTGATTCCCACCACCACCCAGCCCAAAAGAATTCTCTCATCAAAACGTTATACCACAGGGCTCATTGCATTTCGGACCAACACCACCTGACCAGTGAATTAAAACATGCACAGCTGGCCCTCAAGAGGAATGGATACTCTGACCGTACCATCCGCCAAGCTGTTTCTCCCTCCATACAGAAACAACCGCTTGATAAATTTCGATTTAAAGCTTTCGTGACTGCAAGGATTCATCTTCCTTTGGTTCTTTCGGTAAAGTCACCACGTAGAATGAGAATAAAATGATAAATTGATAAAATAAAATAACACAATAATATTCTCACGACGTTTCGGCCACAACACAAGCGGCCTTCATCAGGTGAAGGGGACGAGACTGTCTGGTAGGACAGCGCTGGAGTGAAAGAGCACGACCTTTAAGCTGTGTGAGAAGAAACAAAGCGCCTTAACAAAGGAATTAGCATAGAATTTTAGCATTGAAATGGCTGAGTGATTAGCTTGTGACTGGTCACAGAAAAGGCTATGTTAAAGCTATTTCTGTGACCAGTTACAAGCTAATCACTCAGCTATTTCAATGCTAAATTCTATGCTAATTCCTTTGTCAAGGGGTGCCTTTGCAGATGTGTATGCTTTAACTTTAACATAGCCATTTCTGTGACCAGTCACAAGCTAATCACTCAGCCATTTCAATGCTAAATTCTATGCTAATTCCTTTGTCAAGGGGTGCCTTTGCAGATGTGTATGCTTTAACTTTAACATAGCCATTTCTGTGACCAGTCACAAGCTAATCACTCAGCCATTTCAATGCTAAATTATATGCTAATTCCTTTGTCAAGGCGCTTTGTTTCCTCTCACACAGCTTAAAGGTCGCGATCTGAGCGTGGCTTTTTCACTCCAGCGCTGTCCTCCAGGCAGTCTCGTCCCTTCACCTGATGAAGGCCGCTTGTGTTGTGGCCGAAACGTCGTGAGAATATTATTGTGTTATTTTATTGTATCAATTTATTATTTTATTCTCATTCTACGTGGTGACTTTACCGAAAGAACCAAAGAAGATGAACCACTTGATACTCCGGTAAAAACCATCACACTACCATATATAGCAGGCGTTACTAAAAAGATCTCCAAAATTCTAAACAAACACAAGATCCTGGTCCGGTTCAATACAGTACACAAAATTCGTGATCTGATCCCATCCGTGAAGGATGTCATTCCTGACTTACAGTACCCCGGGGTTTACAAATTGAGTTGTACCTGCGGTGATTGCTATATCGGGGAGACAAAGCGACATGTCTCTGACCCAATTCGCGAGCACAAATCAGATTTGAAACACGGCAGAACAAATTCATCTGCCGTGGCTGATCACTGCTACAACGCTGTGGGTGATCACGATATAATTTTCTCCGATACCAAGGTCCTTTGCAAAACCCACGGGTTATCATCAGAGATTTATCCACGAGGCAATCCAGATCTACAAACACGGACACAATTTCAACGCGAGAAGATGGTTTCAAATTAAGCAACCATTGGAAAGATTGTTCTAAATCATACCAAACATTAAGCTAATTTTCAATGGTATTTATCCAAGTAGTGACATACCAAACTTTCATAGAAGCTTATTTCACTTCACACCTACATTTGTAAACTATCCCCCCCCACTCAAACGCTGTCCTCGTGACAGCACGGTCCCCTTCTCCTGATGAAGGCCACTTGTGTTGTGGCTGAAACGTCGTGATTTTTGTTGTTTTCTTTTTTTTACCTACGTGGTGACTTTTACCGAATAGAACCAAAGAGTATGACTGAGATGACTGGCTGATGCACCACCTGTGCCCCCTACTGTGCCAACCTGCTTGTGCTTTAGCCACCCGGCGGCGCTCCGCTCGTTGTTGTGAGCGTCGCTCCTCCGCCCTCCGTTGTTGTTGGAGGGCGACTGCCTCCAACTGCCCAGTAGCATCCTTCACGAGCCTCCTCCACAGAGGCCGATCTTGACACCGCTGGTACCGGTCATTGACAAGTCTACTCAGCTCCACGTCCTCCTGTACCACGTCACTCCATCTCTTCTCTAGCCCGTGCCGCGCCCGTTTAGCCCCCTCGATCCGGCCGAACAAAAGCTGTTTCGGCATGCGGTGGCTGGGCATGCGGGCTACATGACCCAGCCAACGCAGCCTTGCCCGCCGGAGGAGCTCACCGATGGGACCTTGCCCAGATCTTTCGAGGATTTGTGAGCTCCTCACACAATCCAGCCTGGTTAAACCCAGGATGGATCGTAGGCAGGCCAGCCTAAATGTTTCTAACCGGCGAAGATGTTCCATTTGGGGGGTCCACGTTTCGCAAGCGTAGAGAAGGGAGGGAATGACCGTGGCCGAGAAGACCTGAAGCTTAGTGCGGAGCGACAGACCAGGCAGCTTCCACACAGCGTTACGCAACCGATGAAAAGATATTGCCGCTCGACTGATTCGGAGTGAGACCTCTGCTGTTAAACTGGAGCCAGTCATAAGCACACTGCCCAGGTATGGGAAACTCTCCACTCTCTCCACAACTGCCCCATCACCGATTGGGAGTTGTGGGGGTGGAGTGTCCGATGGTACAAAATACCCAGGCAGGTGCTTAGTTTTGGTGGGGCTGATGGTAAGGCCCCACCTCTTAGTGGCATGCTCCAGTCTCAGCAGCAGCGTCTCCAACTCCTCCTCTGACTGAGCAGCTATTATCAAATCATCAGCATACATAACGTGGTTGAGCAATAGGGAGCCATCCCTTGACCGCACCCGGGCATCGATCAGCCTCCCATTATATCTGCTACAAAGACAAAGATCCCCCATATAGCCTGTAACAGACTGTAGGGGCAAGTGCTGTTAGCGAGCACCTATGAAGGCCGGAACGGTACACGAGGGGGTGGGTGGCCAGCACCACGCCCGACCGCCTTTGTCTCCCTAGTGGCGATGTTTTCATCCACCGCACCAGGTACTCAGAGACACCTAGCCTGGCACAGCAGTCAACCCATGGCACCACCAGGATCTGTCCCGTAACCTCCTGATTCTGATTCTAACCAACATGGCCAACCCCCATTCACCCCCCCCATCCCCCCCCCCCCTTCCCCCCCCCCCCCCCGTTCTCTCCCCCACCACAGGGAGGATGTGGAGGGTCTCAGCTCCCCCTCCGCCATTGGTGGTGGCGGCGGTGGCGGTGACGGTGGTGGTGGTGGTGGTGGTGACGGTGGCGGTGGTGGCGGTGGTGGCGGTGGTGGCGGTGGTGGTGGTGGTGGCGGTGGTGGCGGTGGTGGTGGTCCGTGCAGCTTCCTGCGTGTGGAGGTGGCTCTCCGTGATGCCACCTTCCACGCGGAGTTCCTCGACACTGACTGCCTCCCTCCTCCATACCGCCTGGAGAATCACTCCCTGGTGGGTGGGTGGGTGGGTGAGTGGGTGGGTGGGTGGGTGGGTGGGTGGGTGAGTGGGTGGGTGGGTGAGTGGGTGGGTGGGGGGGTGGGTGAGTGGGTAGGTGAGTGGGTGGGTGGGTGAGTGGGTGGGTGAGTGGGTGGGTGGGTGAGTGGGTGGGTGAGTGGGTGGGTGAGTGGGTAGGTGAGTGGGTGGGTGGGTGAGTGGGTGGGTGAGTGGGTGGGTGGGTGAGTGGGTGGGTGAGTGGGTGGGTGGGTGAGTGGGTGAGTGGGTGGGTGGGTGAGTGAGTGGGTGGGTGGGTGAGTGAGTGGGTGGGTGAGTGGGTGGGTGGGTGGGTGGGTGAGTGGGTGGGTGGGTGAGTGGGTGGGTGGGTGAGTGGGTGGTTGGGTGGTCATCCTGTTCGGTGACTTTCAATACCTTAGGTGGGGTCTCACAGTGGCCACTCACCCACACACTCACCCACTCACTCACCCACTCACTCACCCAGTCAATCACTTACACAGTCACAACAACAACAACAACCGCCATTCGCCACTAAGTGGCGGTGACGTCACCACGACGCTTGTGCCAGGCTATGTGCACCTTGAGGCCCGCTGGCAGGAGGTCACGGGGCAGACCCAGGTGCCACGGGTCGACTGACTGAGATGACTGAGATGACTGGCTGATGCACCACCTGTGCCCCCCACTGTGCCAACCTGCTGTGCTTTAGCCACCCGGCGCTCCGCTCGTTGTTGTGAGCGTCGCTCCTCCGCCCTCCGTTGTTGTTGGAGGGCGACTGCCTCCAACTGCCCAGTAGCGTCCTTCACGAGCCTCCTCCACAGAGGCCGATCTTGACACCGCTGGTACCGGTGATCGGCAAGTCCACTTAGCTCCACGTCCTCCTGTACCACGTCACTCCATCTCTTTTCTAGCCCGTGCCGCGCCCGTTTAGCCCCCTCGATCCGGCCGAACAAAAGCTGTTTCGGCATCCGGTGGCTGGGCATGCGGGCTACATGACCCAGCCAACGCAGCCTTGCCTGCCGGAGGAGCTCACCGATGGGACCTTGCCCAGATCTTTCAAGGATTTGTGAGCTTCTCACACAATCCAGCCTGGTTAAACCCAGGATGGATCGTAGGCAGGCTAGCCTAAATGTTTCTAACCGGCGAAGATGTTCCATTAGGGGAGTCCACGTTTCGCAAGCGTAGAGAAGAGAGGGAATGACCTTGGCCGAGAAGACCTGAAGCTTAGTGCGGAGCGACAGACCAGGTAGCTTCCACACAGCGTTACGCAACCGATGAAAAGATATTGCCGCTCGACTGATTCGGAGTGAGACCTCTGCTGTTAAACTGGAGCCGGTCATAAGCACACTGCCCAGGTATGGGAAACTCTCCACTCTCTCCACAACTGCCCCATCACTGATTGGGAGTTGTGGGGGTGGAGTGTCCGATGGTACAAAATACCCAGGCAGGTGCTTAGTTTTGGTGGGGCTGATGGTAAGGCCCCATCTCTTAGTGGCACGCTCCAGTTTCAGCAGCAGTGTCTCCAACTCCTCCTCTGAATGAGCAGCTATTACCAAATCATCGGCATACATACCGTGGTTGAGCAATAGGGAGCCATCCCTTGACCGCACCCGGGCATCGATCAGCCTCCCATTATATCTGTACCAGATGGAGATTCCCCCAGTACAGCTATTGAAGGCTTCACGAACTACGTGGTCAAAATAGATGTTAAATAATGTGAGAGCCAGAGGACATCCCTGTCGCACCCCAAGGTGTACAGGGAATGGCTCTGACTCCCGGCCACGTAGTTTTACCCGGGCCCGTTCACCATCATGAAGGTCCTTAATGAGCGTGAGCAGTGGGTCAGGGACTCCGAAAGCACGAAGAACAACCCAGAGCCCAGGCCTACTGATGGTATCATAGGCCTTGACCAGGTCAATAAAGCAGAGATGTAGGTCTTGTTGGAATTCCCTACAACTCTGCTGTAGCAGACAGACAGAAAATATGGCATCCGTGCAGGACCGCCCTTTCCTGAAACCGCATTGGGGCTCCGCAAGCCTCCCCTCAGCGTGCCTGGCAAGGCGATGTTGAATAATCCTTGCCAGGACCTTTCCCGGCACACTGAGGAGTGAGATGCCCCTGTAGCTGTTACAGTCTGTGCGGTCCCCCTTCTAAAAGAGGGGGACCACCAGGGCATCCTTCCAATCCTGCGGAACCCGTCCAATGGTCTAGACTGTTATGATGTCATGTAGGGCAGTCTGTGCACAAACGCCACCCTCCCTCAGCATTTCGCTTGGGAGATCATCTCTGCCCGGTGCCTTTCCTGGTCTCAGACTCCGGATCGCCTTCAGTACTTCCTCAACAGATGGCACCTCAGCCAGCCACTCACAGGGGGTGACTTCTTCCAATATTTGAGGCACCGCAGCCTCAGCAGGGTCATCCCCACTTTTTGCCACGATGTTTTCCTGGCTGAGTGATTTCCCCTCCCCCAGGACCTCACAGAAATGCTCAGCAAATCTGCAAACCTATTCCTGGGGGTCGGAGATTGGGTCACCGTTTTTTTCCCCTAATGATGGCAATAGGTGTGGCGCTGCAGGTTACTTTTTTGATGGAGTTAAATAGAGATTTGTGATCGCGGGCCACTGAGGCAGACTCCATCTCCTCAGCAACCCGCGACCACCACCCATCCTTGCAGCGCCTCACGGCTCTCCGAACCTCTGAGCGGAGGCTGCGGTTAGTCTCATCATTCTCTGATGTGGGATACTGTAGCTGATGACAGTGGGCCTGTCGCTTTTTCTCAATCATCCTGAACACCTCTGACGGAGGAGTCACAGTCCTAAACCTCGCCCATTTACCCTCGACATCAGGAGGAGTGGGGGACGATGGCAACCCCAGCCGCAAGCGATGATGAAATTCTCGCTTGCAACTTTCATCAGATAACTGAGACCAGGCCACTTTAGGTTGGAATGGGGTCCTGGGTGTACACCCACCACCGGAGTGGATGAATGGCAGACGCATCTTACAGATGACAAGTCGATGGTCAGAGGGCAGATCAGCTCCACGGTAGGTCCTGGTGTCAAGGACATGGGCTCGCATCCGCTGGTCCTTCACTATGTAGTCCAGCAGATGTTCTTGCTTGGACCCGGCATGCATCCATGATGTTGTGTGGATGCGCCGATGCCGGAACAGCGTGTTGGTAATTACAAGCCCATGGGCTGCACAAAAATCTAGCAGCCTCCTACCGTTGTTAATGAGCTGATCTGGCCCATGCCCTCCAGTCACTCCAGACCAGGTGCCAGCATCATGACCAACTCGGGCATTGAAATCACCCAACAAGATGACTCTATCCCGAGGGGCCACTTTAGCCAGCACCTGTGACAGGAGGTCATAGAAGGCATCTGACTCATCGGCTTTGCCTGCATCGCTCCACAGATGTTCGTCTTCGGTGGAGGCATAAGTAACCACGACCACCACTCCTCGCCTCCGGTTGATGGGAAGGCGAGCCCAAAGTAGCCTGGGCTTCCCACACCTCACCGCCACACTCCCACACCCCCTTCATTCTTTATTCAGAAGAAGAGCCACTCCCTGTTTTTTGGCAGTCTGCTGCCCCGAGTAGAGGACTGTCCACCCCTCATGATGGCAGGAGCCAGAACCGGTTTACCGGACCCTCCTGAATGCCACAGAGATCCAGGCGGTACCGGTCCAGCTCCCGACAGAGGAGTGGCAGCCTCTCCTCCGCAGTGAGCGTTCGAACATTCCACGTGGCCACACGAAGTGGCTATTCGTTGTTTCTGGAGGAGCCCCGAGGGTAGAGATTCAATCTCCTGGCTCCGCCAATTGGGGTTTGGCCAGGAGACGTCATAGACGCCTGTCCCTCCGGGGCCTCCGGCACAAGCTTATTAGTTACATATTTAATTTGTGGTTTAGTGGTAATTTATTGAAGGTGGAGGGGTTACTAGCCCTTCGCACCCATCCAGAGCCTCCGTTTAGCCCCTGTGGTGGACACATATGCCATGAGGGGAGGAGCCAATCAAAATTGGACCTCCCCCCACAGCACTGTCCACGATAGAGTTGCACGTCCGGCACCGCGAGGAGGTAGGGGGTTTTGCCGGACTCTCACACTCACACACACACTCACACACTTACACACTCACACACTCCCTTACACACTCACCCACTCACCCACTCACTCACTAACCCACTTACTAACCCACCCACCCACTCACCCACCCACCCACCCACTCACCCACCCACCCACCCACTCACCCACCCACTCACTCACTCACCCACTCACTAACCCACTCACTCACTAACCCACTCACTCACTCACCCACCCACCCACCCACTCACCCACCCACCCACCCACTCACTCACCCACCCACTCACTCACACACCCACTCACTCACTCACTCACCCACCCACTCACTCACTCACTAACCCACTCACTCACTAACCCACTCACCCACCCACCCACCCACTCACCCACCCACCCACCCACTCACTCACCCACCCACTCACTCACACACCCACTCACTCACTCACCCACCCACTCACCCACTCACTCACTCACCCACTCACTGACTCACCCACCAACCCACCCACTCACCCACTCACTCACCCACTCACCCACTCACCCACTCACCCACCCACTCACCCACCCACTCACCAACCCACTCACCCACCTACCCACCCACCCACCCACCAACCCACCCACCCACCCCCTCTCCCCCTTCAGGTGTCCGTGGTCGTGTCCCAGCTGGGAGCCGGCGAGTCTCCCCGCTGGCGCTTGGCCCCCGGCGCCAGCGTGGCCTATGCCCCCGAAGAGCCCTGTCTGCCGCCCGTGGTGCTGGTCAGCGTCAGCGGCGCTGCCTCACGCTCCTCTCGCGGTGCCGTCAGACTGGACGACCCCGGCACCCAAGGCGTGCAGCTGTACTACGAGAATTACATCTATGTCACGGCCAGTTACACCTTCACCGGGTGAGCCGCTCGCACGCTCGCTCGCTCAGCTACTCAGTCGCTCGCTCGCTCACTCGCTCACCTACTCGCTCACTCACTCACCTACTCAGTCACCCGCTCGCCCGCTCGCTCGCTCACTCACTCACTCACCTACTCAGTCACCCGCTCGCCCGCTCGTTCACTCACTCACTCACTCACCTACTCAGTCACCCGCTCGCACGCTCACTCACTCACCCACTCACTCACCTACTCAGTCACCCACTCGCTCGCTCACTCACTCACCCGCTCACTCACTCACTCAACTCACTCACTCACCCGCTCGCTCGCTCACTCACTCACTCATCTACTCACTCACTCGTTCACTCACTCACTCACTCACCCGCTCACTCACTCACTCACTCAACTCACTCATCCGCTCACTCACTCACTCGCTCACTCACTCACTCACTCAACCGCTCACTCACCCGCTCACTCACTCACTCGCTCACTCACTCACTCGCTAACTCACTCACTCGCTCACTCACTCACTCGCTCACTCGCTCACTCACTCACCCGCTCACTCACTCACTCACTCGCTCACTCACTCACTCGCTCGCTCACCTACTCACTCGCTCACTCACTCACCTACTCAGTCACCCGCTCGTTTACTCACTCGCTCGCTCGCTCACTCACTCACTCATTCACTTACTCGCTTGAGTGAGTGGGTGAGTGAGTAAGTGTGTTACTGTGTGCGTGTGTGTGACTGCGTGCGTGTGAGTGTGTGTGTGCGTGTGACTGAGTGAGTGTGTGACCACAGTGAGTGTGTGTGTGTGTGACTGACTCCAGTTTAACAGCAGAGGTCTCACTCCGAATCAGTCGAGCGGCAATATCTTTTCATCGGTTGCGTAACGCTGTGTGGAAGCTACCTGGTCTGTCGCTCCGCACTAAGCTTCAGGTCTTCTCGGCCACGGTCATTCCCTCCCTTCTCTACGCTTGCGAAACGTGGACCCCCCTAATGGAACATCTTCGCCGGTTAGAAACATTTAGGCTGGCCTGCCTACGATCCATCCTGGGTTTAACCAGACTGGATTGTGTGAGGAGCTCACAAATCCTTGAAAGATCTGGGCAGGGTCCCATCGTTGAGCTCCTCCGGCAGGCAAGGCTGCGTTGGCTGGGTCATGTAGCCCGCATGCGATAGTGTAGCGGTTAGCGCTACGCTGGCGACCCGGGTTCGATTCCCGCTCACGGCCAACACCAGTGACGATTATCTGAACCGGTCCCGGGCCTCCCCTAGGTCGACTCAGCCTCAAATGAGTACCTGGTGCGGTGTGTAAACATCGCCACTAGGGAGACAAAGGCGGTCGGGCGTGGTGCTGGCCACCCACCCCCTCGTGTACCGTTCCGGCCTTCATAGGTGCTCGCTAACAGCACTTGCCCCTACAGTCTGTTAAGGCTATATGGGGGATCTTTGTTTTAATCTTTGTCACTGTGTGTGTCACTGTGTGTGTGAGTGTGTGAGTGTGTGTGTGTGTTACTGTGTGTGTGACTGCGTGTGTGTGTGACTGTGTGTGTGGCTGTGTGTGTGTGTGTGTCACTGTGTGTGTGTCGCTGTGTGTGTGTCACTGTGTGTGTGTGTCACTGTGTGTGTGTGTATCACTGTGTGTGACTGTGTGTGTGACTGTGTCACTGTGTGTGTGTGTGACTGTGTGTGTCACTGTGTCGCTGTGTGTGTGTGTGAGCACAGTGCGGGTGACGCTGTGTGTGTGTGTGACTGTGTGTGTCGCTGTGTGTGTGTCACTGTGTGTGACTGTATGTGACTGTGTCACTGTGTGTGTGTGTGTGAGCACAGTGCGGGTGACTGTGTGTGTATGTGACTGTGTGTGACTGTGTGTGTGTCACTGTGTGTGTCACTGTGTGACTGTGTGTCACTGTGTGTGTGTGTGTCACTGTGACTGTGTCACTGTGTGTGTGTGTGTCACTGTGTGTGAGCCACTGTGTGTGACTGTGTCACTGTCTCACTGTGTGTGACTGTGTGTGACTGTGTACACTGTGTGTGTCGCTGTGTGTGTGTGACTGTGTGTGTGACTGTATGTGACTATGTACACTGTGTGTCGCTGTGTGTGTGTGAGCACAGTGCGGGTGACGCGGTGCTCGCGGGCAGCTGGAGTGACTGTGTCACTGTGTGTGTGTGTGACTGTGTGTCACTGTGTGTGTGACTGTGTGTGTGTGTCGCTGTGTGTGTGTGTGAGCACAGTGCGGGTGACGCGGTGCTCGCGGGCAGCTGGAGTGACGTGAGTGGCCAGCAGCTGGTGCTGGACGTGCCGCCCCGGTCACGTGCTGTCGTCCTGCGCCGGAAGGTGCGTGTCAAGGGTGTGTGTCACTGTGTGTGTGTCAAGGGTGTGTGTGTGTGTGTGTGTCACTGTGTGTGTGTGTCACTGTGTGTGTGTCAAGGGTGTGTGTCACTGTGTGTGTGTCACTGTGTGTGTGTGTGTCACTGTGTGTGTGTGTGTGTCACTGTGTGTGTGTCAAGGGTGTGTGTCACTGTGTGTGTGTCACTGTGTGTGTGTGTCTGTGTGTCAAGGGTATGTGTGTCAAGGGTGTGTGTCTGTGTGTGTCTGTGTGTGTGTCAAGGGTGTGTGTCAAGGGTGTGCGTGTGTGTGTGTCAAGGGTGTGCGTGTGTTGTGTTAAGGGTGTGTGTGTTTGTGTGTGTGTGTGTGTGTCAAGGGTGTGTGTGTGTGTCAAGGGTGTGTGTCTGTGTGTGTGTGTCAAGGGTGTGTGTGTGTGTCAAGGGTGTGTGTGTGTGTGTGTCAAGGGTGTGTGTGTCAAGGGTGTGTGTCAAGGGTGTGTGTGTGTGTGTCAAGGGTGTGTCAAGGGTGTGTGTCAAGGGTGTGTGTCTGTGTGTGTGTCTGTGTGTGTCAAGGGTGTGTGTCTGTGTGTGTGTCTGTGTGTGTGTCAAGGGTGTGTGTGTGCGTCAACGGTGTGTGTGTGTGTGTCAAGGGTGTGTGTGTTTGTGTGTCTGTCTGTGTGTGCGTGTCTGTGTGCGTGTCTGTGTGTGTGTGTGTGTGCGTGTCTGTGTGTGTGTGTCTGTGTGTGTCTGTCTGTGTGCGTGTCTGTGTGTGTGTGCGTGTCTGTGTGCGTGTCTATGTGTGTGTCTGTGTACACTCTGTGTGTGTCTGTGTGTGTTCTCACCAGGAGGGGGAGGAGGGGGGAAAGGAGGAAGGGGAGGAGGAGGAGGGGGAGGAGGAGGGGTATGAGGAGGAGGAGGAGGAGGAGAAGGGGTAGGAGTAGGAGTTGGTGGTGGTGGGGTAGGGGTAGGAGGAGTGGGAGGAGTAGGGGTAGGGGTATGAGGAGTGGTATGAGGAGTGGTATGAGGAGTGGTAGGAGTTGGTGGTGGGGTAGGGGTATGAGAAGGAGGAGTAGG